GCAAGGGCCGAGTAGGCCTACCCCTTCATACATACATACATATATGGTCCCAGAGTGGTTCACCAATATCTCCGGGCTCCATACATTTTCCTGTGTAAACATCAATTGCAGAGAAAAATCGAGTTTTACTGTCATATATGGACCAACCTTTCACACTCCATTTAGTATAGGGAATAGAAGGAATGAATATTATACAGCCAAAGCAGATATTTACCATGTGTGTGAGTATGAGTATGAGTATGAGGGGTGAGCCATAAAGCGGACTTCGTACCGTGACCTTCAATGATCTATTGCGCTTCACATTTCGGTTAAGTTAGTATCCATGGTGTGGGCATTCTCTCTCTGTCTCAGCAAACCCATTTGACTTCGTCATCAAGACCATCAAGACCTTCCGAACTGTTGCACTTGCCGTTTGCTACCTCACGCATTTCTAAGCCTTTATTTTAAATTAACTAACACGAATGAGCGACATGGCCTTCACTAAAGCCGTTCGGTATGTCCCTCTTTCCCTGATCGTATAGACTGCGAATCGCAACTCAGAGAGATTCTCATTAATACTGTCGTCTTCTAGGATTCTGAGGCCATACTGTTTGGTACATAGATGTCAGGGTTTCAGAGGAACATCTTTTCTCCTTTTTTCAGGATAGAATAGTGATTGTGACCTCGTGTAGTTTAGTTTCGGAGGAAATTTCTGTCTTCTGTGTTTGTTGTAGAAGAACGGGGTGTCTCACACGTATCTTGAAACGTTTCGGGGCTTCCTTCTTCAGGGCAGAAAATGGGATGTTTGCCGTGTAATCTGTTAGATATCTGCATGGAGGAATCAGAACTCTCAATCTTTAGGGTTAGAATAAAAAAGTGACGCTCTGTAGTTTACCAAATTACTGGACGTGAATCCCAGAAGACAATGATCTTTGTAGAAAAAGAGGGGTGTTTCCTGTGCCGTTACATCGACTGCGCTTCTCGAGCTCTCTCAGTAGTTCTTTTAGGCCTCAATTTTCCGTTTAAAAGTTCTCGCACATTTCAATATATAGGTCCATAATGAAACATTTTAAGGATAGAAAGAGTAATGATTTCTTCCGAGAAGTCGTTGTTGGTGCAATTGACATTACATAAAACAAATCCAAAAGTCCATATGTTAACACCCAATATTGAAGTAAAAAAAATCTGTTCCGAATTTGTAATTTTCGTGAGAATGGCGACAGATGATTTTTTTTGGGGGGGGGGAAAACAATTATAGATATAAAATATGCCTAGGTAATGCCCAACCGGTCTAGGCGACATAACGAAAAGGTTTGTTGGCAGAGCCCTCTGCTGAGTAGAATTAGTACTACTTGTTCTCCAGGCGTCAGTGCCTGTTAGGCTCTTTTCACACTATACGGTTTTGACCGCACGGCAAAAAATCGAACGGATAAAATCCGAATGGGCATCACGTTCACATTACACTGTTTATGCACGGCTTTTTTCCGTCACAAGCTCAGTGTGGTTGAGTGGTGTGCTGTTTGATTATAATGAGTCGTAAACAAATTATTGCATTATGGTTATATAATCGTCGACGAAAGAGACGACAACGCAAACGTCATGTTTGGGTGCATCCTATCAATGAAAGGCGAGAGAAAGTGGGCTTATTTTATACCTTATTTGAGGATCTACGGAGAGATGAAAATAAGTTTTTCAATTATTTTCGAATGTCCATTGCCTCCTTTGATGAATTATACGAAAAACTCAAGGATGCCCTTCAGCGCCAAAACACACAATTTCTGAACTGTATACAACCAATTGAGATGCTGGCCATTACATTAAGGTAAATATAAATATATGCTTTGTTTGTGTATACTTGCATTTACTTGCACTATACTCTTGAAATAGGTTATTAAGATGTCGGAAACTGAAAGAAAAACGACACAAATTAACTCAATATGCCTTTATTGAACAATATAACATCGCAGAATGAAATATATAGAAGGCAGAAAACATATTTTGTTTTTATATAATGTACTAACACATAGTTAGTTACTTGTACCAAAATCAATACTGTCTGCAATTGAGGATGCTGCTGAAGTTAAAGAAAGGCTATTCTCCTCGCTTTCTGGAGAGGTGAACTCACTGAAATAACGCGATACTGGAGATGGTTGTTTACTTCCTCCACTGCTGTGGGATGATATTTCTTGTAGTAGGGGTGCTTGCTTCTTTCCAATTGTAGATGGCTGAGATTGGTTAGGTATAGGCATTTGGGCGTAAGTTGAAGAAGTTTGGCCATGCATGTTTACTTGTTCACGGTAAAAAGGATGCTGATTAGAGGCATTAAAATATTGTTGAGACTGACATTCAGTTGCACTTGAAGGATGGACAAAATGCGGTTGAGGAAAAGTTGGTAATTGTTGTGAAAAATAAGGTGGATGAGTGTAAATTGTTTTCTTTTTTTCATTGATATTTCCTATAACTTTTAAAACTTCCATTTGAAATTGTAGAAATTCCTCATTATCAAATTTTTGCAGATGAGGCATGAGACTTTGTAGGAAAGCCATTTTACTGCAAGGTTTATCTCCTTCTAATGCTTTTAAAATTCTCAGTTCAACCTCATCAACTTTCTTATGTTTCCTAGCTTTTGGTATACTTGTTGATTTTGTAACCAGTGGAGTAGAAACATCGAAAACATCAGCGGAAGCTTGAACTTGCATCTGCACGCTTTCTTCCCCTTCATTTTCTTGTTCCTTCCTCTGCTCCATACTATCCACAGTTTCTCGTTCATCATACAGTTTACTTAAGAACTGCAATTGATCAAAATATACATACTCGTATTTCTTCATTTTTATTACTTTTGAGCCACTTCTCTTGCTGGCTTTGATCTTCTTCTTGTACTTTGAAAACGAATCTCGAAGATTAGTCCATCTCCGTAATACTTCTTTACCTGAAATAAAAAAAGGAAGGGGTCTCTGTAAGTGAAATTTCAAAGTTTTATGTATGATGTTTCTTTTCTAGGTATCTTGCAAGTGGTTGTACTTTTACTGATCTACACTACAATTATAGACTCGGAGTTTCAACGGCACGAAAATAGTACAAGATGTCTGTAGAGCAATGTGGTCCGTAATGAGAGAGGATTGTATTCCAGCACCGACACCAGAGATGTGGAAGTCGATAGCTTCTGGATTTGAAATTACGGCTAATTTCCCACATTGTATCGGAGCAGTCGATGGGAAACATATCCGTCTTACCTGCCCGTTTAATGCAGGGTCAATGTATTTTAACTATAAAGAATATAATTCTGTAGTTCTAATGGCAGTAGCAGATTCCAAATATAGATTTGTGTATGTAGATGTAGGAAGTTATGGTAAGGACTGCGACTCATCAATATTTAAGCGGTCCAGTTTGTGGCAGTCAATAGAAAATAAGGAGCAAGAACTACCGGAAGAAAAACCTCTACCACGAACAGAAAGTCCAAACATACCTTACTTCTTCCTCGGGGATGAAGCTTTTGGATTACATAAGTATTTGCTGAGACCCTTTGGAGGAACACATCTGACAGTGGATAAAAGAATATTTAATTATCGGCTGCGCAGAGCAAGAAGATATGTCGAGTGCGCATTCGGAATTCTCACTAATAAGTGGCGCATATTTCACCGGCCCATTAACCTACAGCCAGGCTATGCTGTCATTATTGTAAATGCTTGCATTGTATTACATAATTTTGTACTCGAGAGAGATGGATATAGCGATGTAGATACAATGTCTATCACAGGTTTGGAAGAGTTACCACAAGACAGAACCATAAGAGGAGGACTGACTGCAAACAACGTGAGAAATGTACTTTGTAAATATTTCCTTTCTGACGTCGGAAGTGTACCATGGCAAATGGCAAAAATATAAACTTAAATTAATAAACTGTAGCTAAACTAAATTAAGCTTTAAAAAAGTGTTTTTGTACACTGATTATATATTTAAAGAAAATAAATGCAATACCTATGTATAAATAATAGTATTAGTCAAAATTTACTTACCAAAAGCATTTTTATCCTTGGCATCAAGAGTATCAAAATCTGGGAGTAGTTCTACGCAAACTTCATGCCAGGCATCTTTCGTAGCATTTCTATCTTTGTAACTGTCAAGAAATTTGTCCCACAGTACAGGTCTGGCTTCCACAAGTGTAATCAAAACTTCTGCATCAATATCTTCCATTATTTAAACAACAAAAAAGTAATATGTAACCAAACTGCAACTACAGGGGCTCGAGGACAACTGACCGTACGATTTAAAACCGTCTAATGTGAAAGGGTGCATTTGGTCACGTACACCACTGAGTTATCGGTCGCCGTCCGGGCGCCGTGTGTTGTAGTGGCAGTGGACGGCTGCTGCACGGCACCCGGACGGCATTTTGCCGTCACCGTGTAGTGTGAAAGGGGCCATGCTCTTCTTCACTCCACTGAAAGAATGTCGCCGTTCGAGTTTTTGCCGTGCGGTCAAAACCGTATAGTGTGAAAAGAGCCTTAGTGCTCTATTCCCTCCGTCCTCACCGGACCCTTTGTGTATTTGCGTATTAATTAGGGAATCATTAGGATCATTCGAGAGAAATTAAGTTTCCTCATTTTTTACAAATTATGGTGTTCGTGATATTCCGCATTTAATTTCTAGTTGGTATTCTGCTTATCTTGGCAACGCCCATTCTGAGGGTGATTTTACTAGTAGAATGCACATGTTACTGTTTTACGCCCTTTCTCCCCTATTACACGTACAAATCCAACTTCTAAAGGAAGTCTTCAGAGCTGGTGGTCTATATTGAACTGGTTGAATTTGCAGGGCAACTGTTGATATTTCTAGGAAGTAACTCCGTGCAGTCTGGTAGCCAGTTACCCACGTTTTGGAAGCAAGAGATTCTCTCAGAATGGGTGAACGAGCTGCCTTCCAAACTGAGCAACAATCTGTTAGGACTACACAACGTGTAATAAGACACCAAGCTTCAGTAATCCCTGCCGGCCTCTTCTGTGAGATCGAAGTAGTTCACGTTAGTGTGTGTTCACAATAATTAGTATGTTTCCATACAGACTTGGGCAAGTATTCAGAGCAAGGTACTGGTATACTTATTAGAAATACGATGCTATATCACTAGGATTCATGTAAATGAATTCATTTGCCTCCCACAAAGCATTANTGTGATAAAATAAAGATTTAAGGTTATGAAATATTCTGCATTCTCTTGCAGCAGGAATGCCGAGAATTCTGCTACAGAGAGCTGAAGAAACATTTCCTGCTGTGACAAAGGATGATGAGTGTTTTGTGCTTGTGTGCACAGACAAGAATTTTATCATAATCAGTCAATTCTCATATCTTAGGAAACTAAACTTTTATGCCAAACTTGTGTTAGTGTTCATGATCCATCTGGGGAGTTTACATGGTTCTTCATATTGTAACACTTTGAATTATTATGTGGGAGATGGGCCAATTCAAGGAGAGTGATATGGGTGTGTATGTATGTAAGGGGTGGGCCATAAAGACCAGCCCCCGCACTGCGACCTTCAAAGTTTTTTGTCCTTCCCCTTGGATTAGCCCTTTATTAATCCTATACTTTTAATAAAGTGTAGAACCCTGCTTATGGGAGAGTCATAAATGTCACAAATGACAAAATCTTAAATGAGCTATGGCCTCACAATCACACAGAATGTGTGCGGCTGATTCGTTTTCTTGTTGGCACCTTTTAACAGGTTGGATTGTCTGTCAGTCCCAACTTGAAAAGCTGTCTTATCAGGTGGTAGTGTCTGGTAAGTAATCCCAGCACCCATCTTAATTGATCTCTGTTTAATCTCAACAGATCCTTCTTCTTCTGGCAGAAGGTCCTGCTATAAAACCCTTTGCCTGTCTGAGTCCAGTTATGGATTCTAAGTATTTTTTATGATTTCTATCAGTCCAGCCCTGATCGTTTTTTCTGGCAACTCCAATTAAGATGCTGCAAGCTAGTTCAGGTCCTATGAACGGCTGTTCAGATCATGATATGGGTAGGTCATATAGTATGCATGTGAGAATGAGGAATGCATACAGAAATTTTGACAAGACCTGAAAAAATGAGACCACTTGGGAGACAATTGTGAAGATGTTTTTTGTTAAAGATACAGTTACCGGGTTTTGGACTGGGTTTGTGTCAGGATGCAAAGTCATGATGGGCATGTATGAACACAGTAATGAGTGCTTAGGTTCCATAAAGAGCAGATGCGTATTGTCTGTACTTCCTCAGGGACCACAGGTTTCTCAGGTCCCTGCATTATGAACTTTACACTTGCTAAGATTATGAAGTCTGTAGAGAAGAAATCTGTACAGAGCAGCTGTTACGGGTTACGTTTAATGAGAAACAGCTACAACAAGGAGAGCATATATTGTTTCATGTGTGGTGTTGTACAGCCATGACTGATCGAAGATGTGATACGTTTACAGAACTACAAATTCAGAGAAGGTTTTAGTGGCTCCCTGTGGTGAGACATACCCAGCAAGTCATGATGCAAGCCAGGCCATCAATATAAAAGCTGAGGCAGTCTCAGATGCAGAAGAGGAAGTGGATCCAGTGCGAATAACATTTCAGGAGATAAAGGCTGAACCTGAGGTGAGCTGCATGCTTCTGTATGTCCACTGTTAGGCAGATATCACAGATAGGCAGGAATTGCAGTTGTCTTTCTCATCTCCATCTCTCTGTCAGAGAGAAATTCTATAGCAGCAAAAGTCCTTGGGGAGTCACGGAACTGTTCGAAGTTAGTTGCTGGTACACTTCTTACAACCAAGAATTTAAGTTACTAGGACTCTTGTAAGCTAATTACAATGAACCCCAAAAGATATTTATCATGTGATGAACAGGTTTCAAGGTTACAAAAGATTCTGCATTCTCTTGCAACAGGAGTGGCAAGAATTGAACTGCAGAGAGCCAAAGAAAAGTTTCCTGCTGTAAGCGAAAGAATTGTGAGTGTTTCGATCTTGTGTGCACAGACATGAATTTTATTGTATTTAAGTTGTCTTGGCCGAAGAAACTAAATATTTTGTCACCTGCTTCTGTTTGTTCGCATAATCCATGTTGGCCGTTCGTTACACGTGGGTGATGACGGTTTGGGATATTATGTAGGAGAGCAATGAGTTCAAAGAGAGTGATGTGGGTAAGTCATGTAGTGCACATGCAACAGAGAGAAATGCATACAAAGTTTCGGAAGGAAAACCTGAGAGAGGCAGACCTAAGTGCAGATGGAGAGATGCTATTAAGATAGATTTTAAAGAAATAATTTGGAAGGGTTTGTACTGGGTCTCTTTGCCTTAGGATACAGAGCTGTGGTGAGCATGTGTGATCCCAGTAATGAGCCCTTTCTGGCTTTCTCAACAATCCTGTATTCATTCCTCTTCTCCCCCATGCCTGCTATATGAGCTGCCCATCTCATCCTCCTTGACTTGATCATATAATTATGCTTGGTGAACGAAGGTTACAAGTTGTGGAGCTCTTCATTATGATGTTTTTAGGAACCAAAACAGCAGATATTTTCTGTACTGCCACAGTGACTGTTAGTTCCTTGGGAAGGTCACTGAGCTATGAACCGAGTACTTTCTACTGATCATGATAGCTGTAGAGAAGACCATCTGTACAGAACAGCTCTTATGAGTTAGAGGTGATGAGAAACATCCATAGCAAGGAGAGCATACGCTGTTTAATATGTGGTGTGCATCCATTTCTGAGAAGGATGTGATGGTTTTTACAGAACTGTACAAATTTGGAGAATGCTTTAGTGGGTCCATGTGCTGAGACATACCCAACACCTCGTGATGCAAATCAGGCCATGAATGTAAAAGCTGAGGCACTCTCAGATGCAGAAGAGGAAGAGGATCCTGTCCCAATAACATTTTCAGAAATAAAGGCTGAACCTGAGGTGAGCTGTATGTGCACTGTTAGGCAGATGACACAAATATGCAGAAATTCTGCTTGTCTATCTGATATCGATCTCTGTGAACATGAAACAACTCTACTGCGCTGTTGACTAGATTCTGAAAGATTCTCTTTCCTGAAATGTCTAGGCAACTGTATGTAGAACGTTGCTTGTGACGTACCAGTTCCATTTTCTTTTGAGCCGATCTAATATAGATGAAATGAAATTCTGTATAAACTGAATGTTTGCGGTAACTTCTATACAGCTAAAATCCTTCACATTTTCTTTGTCTGTCCAGTCCACTAAGCAGTGCTTTGGTACTACATCACAGAGTTCCCAGGATCTATAAATGCTAAAGTTTATCATTTGTTTGTCTCCCATGCAGTCTGTATCCATGTAATAACATAGAGGTGTCACTATGTTTAGGATTTGTTATAGGATAACTAATGATTCTCTAAAGATCTGTGACAATATGTGACAGATTATAGACATGTGTTGCCTGTTACCTAACACCATTGGAGTTGCCCCTGTACCTGCTGTCAGGTGATTGGTTGTCATGACAGATTTTTCTGTTGTTTTCTGTCAGACACAAAGGTATCTGAACATTAGATATAAAGAATGTGTAAAAGGTGTAGAAAGCAATAGTGCAGAACTGGCATTGGCAACACATCCTAATACAAGGAGTGTCCCATATATAATGCCTCCTCTTTTTTTTAACGATACCTACAGCAGATACAGAAAGAATATAAACGCAGTTAATAGAGCAAGATTTCATCTTACACTTATTTTTCTGCATAATCACCACCTTTCATTATGCACTTTTGCCAGTGATGAACAAAAGTCTGTATGCTGAGCCCCTAAAAGTCTGCACCAGCAGAGGCTAACCACTTTCTTACAACTGCAATGATAGCATCGTTGTCTGGTAAATGTTGCCCACATGGTCCATCTTTCATAGGCCCAAAGAGATGGAAGCCTGAAGGTGCTAAACCAGGGCTATAAGGTGGATGTGGTAGGACAGTCCAGCCAAACTTTGCAATGTGCGCGGTAGTCGCCAAACTGGTATGGGGTCTAGCGTTATTGTGTTGCAAGCAAAAGGTTGTCTGCTTCTCTGGCCTGACTAGGGAAATGCAGGTTTTTAGCTTAGTCAGCGTCATCTTGTAGCGTTCAGAATTGACAGTCTCACCAGGCTCCAGGAAATCCTACAAAATCACACCCCACCTATGCCAGAAGACTGTGCACATCACTTTCCCTGTCAATGGCTATGTCTTGAACTTCTTTTTCCTTGGGGAATCCAGATATAG